TCCCTCAGCAGAGCCCCCATAACCAGGAGTTTTTATGACACCATCTTTTTGCCTCACTGGGGGCTCCTGGCAGCTGTGGCCATGCAAAAAAATGACATTTCTGGTGACAGATCCCATCTTCTTCCCCAGCTGAGCACAACAGGTTCCAGCCAACCCAGTCCAGCACCTACCAGGTGATAGGGACCCCCTTCTCCATCCAGTATGGCACCGGGAGCCTGACGGGGATCATCGGATCCGACCAAGTATCCGTGAGTGACCTTTGGGTTCCCCTGCTCTGGGCAAAGAGCCTGGGACTTGCCCATGGGCTCAGCACCCCCATGGAACCCCCTCCTCCCTGCAGGTCGAGGGTCTGACCGTGAGCAACCAGCAGTTTGCAGAGAGCACCAGTGAGCCGGGAAAAGCCTTCCTGGATGCTGAGTTCGATGGGATCCTGGGGCTGGCTTATCCCTCCCTGGCCGTAGATGGGGTCACCCCTTTCTTCGACAACTTGATGGCCCAAAATCTGGTGGAGCTGCCCCTTTTCTCCGTCTACATGAGCTCGTACGGACATGACTTTGCTCTGGGATGGTGCTCAGAGTCTGGAATTGCTTTTGGGAGCAGGAGGAGCTGCGAAAATACAGATATTGTACTGAGATAATGAAGGGGGGTTTGGTACCAGATTGAGCATCACAGACCTCTGGCCTTAGATCATTTGTGGGGAGAAAGGTGGGGTAAATCCATGCTAAATGGATAAAAACCCCTCATGTGTCTTCCTCCTCCTCCTCTCTGCAGGAACCCCGAGTCCCCCCAGGGAGGAGAGCTGCTTTTTGGGGGCTTTGACACCTCCCGCTTCACAGGGACCCTGAACTGGGTGCCGGTCACCCAGCAGGGGTACTGGCAGATCCAGCTGGACAAGTGAGTGGGGCTGGGCAGGCAGGGAGGGCAGGGCTGGGCTGGCAGAGCAGGATAAATCCCTCCTGCTCCTTCTCCTCTCTTCCAGCATCCAGCTGGGTGGGACGGTGACTTTCTGTGCCAATGGCTGCCAGGCCATCGTGGACACCGGGACATCGCTCATCACGGGCCCCACCAAGGAGATCAAAAAACTGCAAAACCTTATTGGGGCTGTGTCTGTGGATGGAGAGGTGAGAGCCAGGGTGGGGACAGGAGGGGACAAAGCCCTGGGGACCCTTCTCTGCTGGAAGGGACCCCCCTGGGCAGCCCTTGAGCCCCCAGATGTGTTCCAGTACGCCGTGGAGTGCAGCAACCTCAACGTGATGCCTGACCTGACCTTCACCATCAACGGGCTGCCCTACACGCTCAGTGCCCAGGCTTACACCCTCATGGTATGGCTGTGGCTCCCTCAACCCCAAATCCCAGCTGCTCCAGTGGCAAAGGTGGCCCAGCCCCACTCCGGGAGCAGGCAGTGTGTCCCCAGGGGTGACAAACCCTGCTGGTTTCTGCTTCGCCACCGTTCCTGGGTGTTCCCATGTGCATGAGGCTCACGGCCTCATCCCCAGCTTTCCTCTTCTCCTCCCCCAGGAGTACAGTGATGGCATGGCCTTCTGCACCAGTGGCTTCCAGGGGACAGACATCCCCCCTCCCACAGGACCCCTCTGGATTTTGGGTGATGTTTTCATCCGTCAGTTCTACGCCGTCTTTGACCGTGGGAATAACAGGGTGGGGTTGGCCCCTGCTGTCCCTTAGGGCTGTGACATCCATGGGGCAGGAGAGGAACGGACCTTGGCAGGGCAGTGGATGTCACCACGTCCTCCTTGGTGTCCCCAGGGGGATGAAGACACCCAGGGGTGCAGCTGAAGAGCCCAGCAGAAGTTCAGTCCACACCAGGACACTGTGATATAGAAATGTCTCGAGCAGCTCTGTGATCTGCTCTGCACATTCTCTGTTTTTAAATCCTGAGCCAATAAAAAATTTAATAAACCCAAACTTCTCATGCTTCTGTCGGCAGCAGAAATCCTGCACATCTCAAAGGGCTGCGCTGGGGGTTAAATCCTCCTTGCCCATGTCCTGCCCTCCTCCCTGGGTGATCCATGGCACTGCCAGGGCTGCACTCCCAGCGTGGCCGGAGCTTCCCTGGGATTCCCACAGGAGCAGAAAGAAGAGGATGCTTTGCTCAGCTGGAGCAGAAATCCCTGGAGGTGCCTGTGGCCATCCCTGAGCATCCCAGGGGCCTGTGGGCAGGGCAGGGGCCGAGGGAGCACTGGGGATGCACCTTTCCTCAGCTGGTGCTGGTAAACAAGAAGGTAACAGGGGGACTGGAAAGCCCCCGGGGCTCTTTCCGTGCCACAAAATTCCTGGAGCAACTGGTGGTTTCCAATGAATTTTGCTTTGATTCCCCTGGGGAGTTTACCACGACAACAACGTGCTTGGTGGGTCCTGGAAGGGCAAAGCAGCCGCTGAGCCCTGGGCTGGGCTGGGCTGGCTCAAAGCCTGGGGGGCTGCAGAGGGGCTCCTGGCCCTGGGGGTCCCCAGGGGGTCACCGTGACACCCGTGCCTTGCTGACGGGAGTGTGACACTGCACAAGCAGCTGTGGCTCACGAGGGATGCACCCCGAGGCAGCCAGAAAGGGAAGCACAGAAAAAGGTTATTTTTATCCCAGCCTTTGCTCTGTTTTCCTCACTGACCCTGAAGCGAGGCCAGCAGTGCCAGGGCCGGGGTGCTGGAGTGTCCATGTCCCAGCCCAGGCTTGGTGGCTGCTCCATCCTTCCCAGAGCAGAGCAGCCTCCAGGGCTGGGTCTGGGAGCTCTGGAATATTCAGATCTGGTCGTAAACTTTGCAGCTGAGCCTTGTGGTTTGCAATAAAAGGAGATATCTGCCTTACCCAGAGGCACTGATTGTGCCGCTGACCAGTGTGGGCTCTGTGACGTTTCCTGTGTTGACTTCACCCCTGCTGCAGCCCCAGATAAGGTGCTGGGGCAGCTGGACAAAGGTCTCCTGTCCCTCTTCCACCTTAACCCTTAGCACACCAAGGTGCTGCTGAGCACGAGCCCAGGGGCTGGAGGGAGCATCCAGCATGACAGGGGCCACTCAAGTGTCCCCAGATGGCAGCTGGCAGTGAGAGCTGGCCTGGCCTGGAGTTGCCCAGGACTGCTCTGGTGTTGTATTTTTGGGATCTCAGAGCGTTCTTGACAGGTTTGGGGGGGAAGTTGCTCAAACAAATGTGAACACCCCAATAAAGAGCGACCCTGCTGTCCCCCAAGGAGGCTGAACAGTGCAGGGAACACTTAGATGCTCTTTGCTTCCTTCCCTTTCTCTCACTCCCCCAGTCCTGCAGGGCACAGCCCATCCTCTCCTTGTCCCCCTCAGCCTTTCCCTGGCTGCATCAGCCCCAGCCTGAGTTTCATCACCTTCCTCACAGTCACAGGCCACAAAACCCACGCCTTTTCCTCAGAAATGCTGACGTGGGGGAGCTGCCAGGACGGGACTGAAGCTGTGGTGGCTGGAGCTGCTCTGCGACACCTTGGCCATCACCTCCTCCCCACCACTGCTCCCACTGCCTTCATCCAGGCAGAATCTCAGCCCAGAGGAGATTAGGAGAGCAGGAGCTTTGGGAAAATCCCTTTTCCTGTGAAATCAAACAAAAGCCAGAGCTGAGGCTGATGCACCCTGGTGGGTACAGCCTCCCTGGCCGAAAGCAGAAGTGGCCATGGGCATCAGCTGCAGTTTGGGATTGACCGCAAACCCAGCCCCAGCAGCGTGGAGAGGCTTTGATCATCTGACAGGGTGAGCAACCCCTGTCCCACCAGGGACACGCGAGAGGAACGAGGGCAGAAGTTGTTGCAGGGGGAGGCTGAACAATAAATTCTCTCTGTGAGAGCAAAGGTGAAGCAGGATGGTGAAAAAGGGCTGAAAACATGGATTAGGAGAGAGCTGCTCAGGTTCTCCTCCCTCAGCCCAGCTCCTCCCAGCACCTGCCCTCTGGGGGGGAAAACAGATTTTTCTGGCCAGACAGGTCCTAAAATTACATCTGGAGAGGAGGGGGAGGAGGGTTTGTCCTGCTGAGTGCAGTGATCCTCCCTGAGATCCCATCAGGGTCTGTAAGGGGAAAGAAAAGTCTACAAAAATGCTGGAAGTGGAAAAGCAAAAGCCAGAAGTCTTGGAGGGATCCTGAAACCGGGGCATGGGGACCACCAGGAACTGGGGGGCTGCAGGTTTAGGATGGGGGAGGTTTCAGAGATGGGGGACACCCGACTCTCACTGCAAATCCCACATCCCACAGAATGCTTGGTAAAGGCGCAGGACCTGCCCTTGCACGTTGGGAAGCAGAGCTCAGCCTTTGCAGCCGTGGCCAAGCAGGTTTTCCCACTCCAAAGAGCCCTGGGCACCCGTCTGCTGCTGGGATTGCTCCATGGGGGCAGCTGAGGTCCCCAAAATCCCATTTACTGATTGAACACGTCCTCCTGCAGATGTCACCAGCTCTGTCCCCTCTTTTTGGGGTGTTTCTGGGGTGTCCGTGCTGCCGTGGGTGTTGGCTGGGACCCCTGGGGGCTGCAGGGATGTGGCACCGAGGGGCTGGAAGCGCTCCTAATTCCGACCCTGCTCCTCTCCCGCCTGGAAAAGGAGGCGAAGCCGCACGGAGCTCCTCAGAGGGATCCCAGCCCCTCCTCACCTCTCCTCAGCTCCCAAATCCGCTTATCCCATCCCACCATATCAGAGCAAAGTCCGGGATGGCTCCAGGGATGCTGCCCACAGCCCCGCCCGGCTTTTATCCTCATCCCTCAGTAATTCCCCAGCGGGGACGCAGATAAAGGGTCCCGGAGAGGTGGCAGAAAGGAAACGAAGGAAATCTGAGCCAGAGGAGAGGCCAAAAGTCAACCCCAAACTCCAGCAGAGGAGGAGAACCTTGTTCCCCTTCCCCATCGGATCCCGAGCCGGGGACAGCGGGCAGAGCCCCGGAATCGAGGGAAAATCCACAGACATCCCAGCGCCCGCCCGAGGCTCCTCGGGATCGCGGGATCTCGGCCCCTTTCTGCTGATGTCACGGAGCGGGGCCCCGCAGCCGCCTTCCCCGGGAGGGCAGGGACCGGCCGCCCCTTCCCGGATCCTCCTCTCTCGCCTCTCCCCTCCCCGGCTGAGCGGAGCCGGGAGCCGCGGATGCCCCGGCAGGTGAGCGCTCCGCAGGTGAGTCCCCGGGGGCAGCCGAGACCCGCCGAGCGAGGGGAAAACTCCATTTTGAGTTTAAAAACATCTGGCCTCCCAAAAAGCTGGCGAAAGGGCCGGGAAGTTTGTGTGCGCTGGGCCACGAGGCTCTGCCGGTGCCGAGGATGCTGCCCGCGGCTGGGCACGGGGGGCAGAGCGGGGCAGGGGGGCCTGGACCCCACAGCTGAGAGCTCCCCGCTGCTGTTCCAAGGGGGAATGGCGCAGGGCTGGCCAGCGCATCAGGGAAAAATGCAGGGATGAGGCTGCCAGTGTTTCCGTCTGTGCCTCGCCCGGCGGTGTCGGACGCTGCTGCGGGGATGGGGCTGCTGGAGGATGCTGCTGCCGCCTGGGGAGGGGGTTTCGGGGGTCCTGGCCGGGCTCAGAGCATTTGGGGACGCTGGGACATAATGGGGACACATCCTGCGGGGAGATTTCGGGGTGCTCCTGGGCGGGGATGCTCCCTGGGCTGTGCTTGAGGCACCAAGGAATTCCGCCTGGCTGGGGTCTTCTTTAATAAATTTAATTTTCAGCAGGACCCCAGGCGTGTGTGCCAGGCCTAGGGGGAGGGACTGCGCTGGAGACGGGGTGGGAGAAGCAGGGAAGTGGCTCCTGGAAGTTTTGAATGGTGATGAACCGACGGGTCTGGGCGTGCTCCGGCTCCTCGGGAGCCCGGCACGGGCAGGGACGTGGGCCGGGCTTGGCACGGGAGGTTTTCTGTCCCCACCATGCCTGGAACACACGGGCTGGCATGGCACGGGCATGGTGACAGCACGGTGAGGACACAGCGACATCCGTGCTGGGAGCAGGGACAGCAGCACGGGCACCGCCGGGAGCCAGAGCCATCCCCACAGCCCGCTGAGCCTCTCTCGTCCCACAGGGCCTGTCCATGGATGCCAGCAAGAAGGTGGATCTGAAGATCATCATCATCGGAGCTCTGGGGTAAGGAGCAGGCAGAAAAGCGCCCTAAGTGTGCTGGGTGTCCCCCGGCCCTGCCCACCCCCGGGTGCTGCAAAGCCTCACCAGTGTCCCTTTGCTGTCACCAGCGTGGGCAAGACCTCTCTGCTGCACCAGTACGTGCACAAGACGTTCTTCGAGGATTACCGCACCACGCTGGGCGCCAGCATCCTCACCAAGGTCCTGGCTGTGGACAACACCCCCCTGAAGCTGCAGGTGAGCAGGGTGAGCTGGCACTGCCCACCCTGACCCCTGATCCCAGGTGTGTCCCACCCCGGCCTGAGGTGCCCAAATGCCCACCGGGGTCATGAGGTGCAGGGCTGCATGTGCAGAGCCCGATTTTCAGAGCCTGATTTTCACAGCCCGATTTTCAGAGCCCAGCCTTCAGAGCTTTTCAGAGCCTGAATTTCAGAGCCCAATTTTCAGAGCCCGATTTTAGAGCCTGATTTTCAGAGCCCGACCTTCAGAGCTTTTCAGAGCTGATTTTCAGAGCCCGATTTTCAGAGCCTGACTTTCAGAGATGAATTTCAGAACCCAGTTTTCAGAGCTCAGTTTTCAGAGCCCGATTTTCAGAGCTCAATTTCAGAACCCAATTTTCAGAGCTCAGTTTTCAGAGCCCGATTTTCAGAGCTGATTTTCAGAACCTGATTTTTCAGAGCCCGATTTTCAGAGCCTGGATTTTCATCATCCATAAACTGCACTGGAGTCCCGTGGGAATTCTGGGGGCTCAACACCCCCTGAAGCTGCTCCTCTGGGCTGCAGCCCCCACCCTGCCCGTGGGGTGTGTCCATCTGTGCCCTTTTCTGCCCTAGATCTGGGACACAGGCGGACAGGAGCGATTCCGGTCCATGGTGTCGACCTTTTACAAAGGCTCGGACGGCTGCATGCTGGCATTCGACGTGACCGACAGGGAGTCCTTCGAGGCCCTGGATAACTGGAGAGATGATTTTCTGGAGAAGGTCATTCCCAGGGAACAGGATTTCCCCATGGTCGTGCTGGGGAACAAGATAGACCTCAGTGACCGGCAGGTAAGGGTGGAGGAGGGAGAGGGGGATGAGCAGTGCTGGAGTCGCCAGCTGGGGGGATTTAAAAGCTGTACTGATGTGACACTTGGGGACATCGTTTAGTGCTGGGTTGATGGCTGGATTTGATGATCTTGAAGGCCTTTTCCAACTTAAACAATTCTGTGATTGGGATGCTGGAGGGTCCTAAATGGCTTTGAGGGCTGATCCTTCACCTCAGAACCAGCCTTTTCCCTGTCCTCGCATGAAAACCAGAGCTCCAGGCCGCCACCCACCCCAGGATTCTTGCAGGGGATAAGCAACATCCTCCTGCTGCTCTTTGGGGACTGTCCCCAGCAGAGGCAGCAGGAATGACAACCTCAGGCACTGCCAGCAGACGGCTGAGGAGGGTCCCCTGTCCCATCCCCGAGCTCTGGCTCCATCCTCCCGTCCCCAGGTGCCCAAGGAAACGGCCTCAGCCTGGTGCAAGGAGAAGGACATCCCGTATTTCGAGGTCAGCGCCAAGAACAACATCAACGTGGCCGAGGCTTTCGAGACGCTGGCGAAGCAGGCGCTGAGCACGGTGAGCATCCCCCAGCTGCGAGCGGTGCCGGGGGAGCGTTCGGGGGGGAACCGAGGCTGCTCTGCCAGATCCTCCCGTGTGGAGCAGCTCCCGCTGCAGCGCAGAGCGCCGGGGATGAGAAACGCAGCGGTGTTTGATCCTAAATCGATAGGAAAAGGATGGGAATCGCCTTTTCCTTTTCCCGTGGCGTGTGGCACCCAGGGCGCGCCAGCACTGTCCTCTAGCGGCCGTGCCACGGGGACATCCGTGTCCCCAAGCCCTGCTCTAGGTGGCTTTTCCCTGGATTTTGCCTTTAACCCCAAGTCAGGGCTGAACCCCAGTGCTCCGCAGCTGCCTCTGAGCTGGGCTCGCTCATCCTTTCCCTTCTCCGTTTTGTTTTTCCAGTATAAAGGGATTTTTGAGAGTTATTTAACCGACTCCATCAAGCTCACTCCCAACGACAAGCCCAAGCAGAGCTGCTGCTGACCCCGGGGCCACTGGACCCCTCGATGCCCACGGCTGGAGCCCTGCCCGGGGGTCCGAGCCCCCTGCCCACCCCGGCCTGGCCACGGGGACCGGCTGGACACAGCAGGACCTGCACATCCAGGGATTTGCTGCTTCCCACGGCTCTGGAGCTGCTCTCCCGAGCCTCCCAATGGCCTGGTGTCACGGTGTCCCAAAGCCTGGGTGTCACAGTGGCCCTGTCCCCGCTCGGTGTGCTGCCGTCGGGCACCCGATGTCCCTGCAGTGACGGTGCCAGGGGTGCGGGCATTGGCGTGACCCTGCCCGGTGCACGGCCTGGTGGCCCCACTGCTCTCAGGGTGGGCACGGGCTGGCCTGGAGGGGACACTTGGGGCTGGTGGCCTGGGCACAGGGCCCTTCTGTGGAGGCAACAAATCCGTGCCTCAGTTTCCCCCTCCCCTCACGCATATCCCCCACCAAACACCTTCCCCCTCCCTCCTCACTGGGGAGGATTCTCAAAAAAGCACTTTGTCAGGGGTTCTCTCTTTTTTTAAAAACAAAAAAAATAATTAAATATTTCATTTTTATTTATATTTCTGTGTTGCAAAACGCTCCCCAGGTCCCGCAGCAGGAAGGTGGGGAGGTGGGGGCTCCAGACTTTCCTCTCTGAGCGTGTTCTCAGGGCTGGGGGGATGCATTTTGGGTCTGGCTTTTTTTTTATTTTCCCCCAGTGCAGATTTTGGGTCAGGGTAGAGAGGAGGCTGTGCAGAGGTGGCCTGGGGGCGGCTGTCGGCAGAGGGAGCCCGCTGGGAGCGGAGCCCGGCTCCCGCTTCCCTTCCTGCATCCATCCCGCTCCTCTCCGGGCACCTTCCAGCAGCCGGGGCTGCCCGGGGACGCGGCCAGCCCGTTCCGGCTGGGGCTGCAGCATCCCCCCGGCCGGGCTGGATGGATTCCGATTCCCAGGGAGCTCAGCAGGGACCCTCCACACCCCGCCGCTGCCTGCAGCGCTCCCGCAGAGCTTCCCGGAGGTTTCCGTGGCATCCCCGGAGCTGCCCACGGGGACAGCACCCAGGGCTGGGGACACAGGACAGCGGCAGGGGCTGCCAGGAGAGCTCCGGAGCGGTGAAAGCTGAGCGAGGGCTGGGCACGGGGGGCTGCAGAGCCGCGGCCGGACCGCCCGGAGAGGAACGGAGAGTTCCCACCCTGCTCCTTACGCAATGCTCCGCCTGTTTATTTGGGCACCGGGCCGGGGAGAGGATTTGTCCCTTCCTACTGGGAGGAGAGGGGCATTAACTATTTCCTCCCCACGTTTTGCACGGCTTTTCCCCCACTCTGTGCCTGCCCGAGCCCCCCTCACACGCAGCATCCCCCAGCCCCATCCTGGCACGGGAGCGGGTGCTGAGCGCTGCCCGAGGCAGCAGCGCTGTTGTTTCTGCTCACACCCTTCCCCCAGCAGCTCCCAGCGCTGGCAAACAAAAACCTGATCTGTTTTACCCCAGCAAGCAGCAGTTTGGGCTCCCGGGGCTGAGCAGGTCACACAAACACGTGTGGTCGGTGGAGCGGGTGCTCCCTGAGCCGGGGCTGGGCAGTCTCTGGCACAAAGCCAGGGCTGCTGTGGGTGCTGGAACCTGTGAGTGGCAGGAGCTGGAGCCAGGTGGGAGCTGCAGATTTGGCTCAGGGTCCACCTGCAGCCCTGGATGCTCCGGCCAGGGACAGGCGGGAGCTGGGCTCAGACCTCGAGCCGCAGGCACAGCTCTCTCCAGAGCCCTTGGGTGGGCTCTGAGGTGCTGGGCTCAAACTGAGAAGGGCCCCAGCACTTTGTGCATCCACACAACACCATTCCCAACACGGGAATTAGGACTGTGAAGGATGCTGCAGCCTCAGGAGCTGGCAGGATCTCCAGTGGCATCAGCACCCTGCAGAAACCCTGGCTGACACATCTGGCAGATGTGCAGCCATCCAGCTTTTCCTCTCCCTCCATCCCTGCTGGGCAGGGTGTCCTGCTGTCCAGGCAGGATGGGGACAGGCCAGGAGAGTGGGCAGGGTGTCCTGCTGGCCAGGCAGGATGGGGACAGGCCAGGAGAGCGGGCAGGGTGTCCTGCTGTCCAGGCAGGATGGGGACAGGCCAGGAGAGTGGGCAGGGTGTCCTGCTGGCCAGGCAGCCCAGGGGACAGCCAGGAGAGCGGGCAGGGTGGCACAGTGCCAGGCAGGATGCTGGCAGGAGCGGCCAGAGGTGCTGAGCTGGTAACATTATCCCGCAGCCGAAACCCGATAAAGGACAGGGGGAGGTTTGCAACACGTGGGATTAACAAGGTCAGCTCAAGATTTTCTCAGGGTGAAAATCAAAGGGGAAAATATTTGTCTTGTGTGACTCAGTGAGTTCCTGAGCAGCCACCTGAGTTCCTGAGCTGGCCCTGGTGGAGAGCCCGGCCTGTGGCCGCTGCTGAGGAACCAAACCTGAGCCCTCCTGCTCTCCTGCCCACAGTTTAATAACCACAGACATTTGGTTATGCCCTGTTTAATAACCAGAGACTTCCCAGCTGCTCTGCTGTCCCTACAGGTTTTCATTCACCCATTGAAACAACAAAAATCAGTAAAATCCCACCCTGATGCTGGTCACCAAACAGGGACCATCCCAACCTTCCTGCAGAAGATCTGCCCTCACTATTTGAGGAATTAGCCCCCCAAATCCCCGACTCCCAGTTTGCTTCAGTGTTCTGAGGTTCAATTTCCCCTGAGAGCTCTTCACCACCCCTCATCCCACGTGGAAACCCAGCGTGTGCTCCGTGTCACCCGGTGGATCCAGCCCTGCTGAGCCCCGGCTGCTTCCAGGGGTGGCAGCGGTGCTGGGGAGGGGGGAATGGAATCACAAATCCCCCGTGCAGGGCTGGCAGAGAGCGGCTCCTCCGCTGCTCCTTCCTCAGACACGTGCCAGGCACAGGCAGCAGTGCCCAAGAGTCATGGAATTGATCATTTAGGTTGGAAAAGCCCTTTGAGATCATCAAGCCCACCATGAAATCGTGTCCCTGAATGTCCACCTACCCCAGCCTGTGGCACCTGGAGCTGGGTGGGATTAAATTCTTTTATTGAAATGTGAGAATTTAAATAAAAGCTCTGGAAAACACCTTTAAAAGAGAATCAAAAAACCCCAAGTTTTTCAGTTTGGAAGCAGAAGCCCCATTAACCTGGAGCTGGGGCTGGGAGTAACGCAGTGGCTTCAAAGCCGACCTGATAAACCCCAGAGGTTCAAAGTTCCAGGTAACCTTTCAAAGGCGTCAGACGTGAAAAACAAAGCCACGGCATCACGCAAAGCCTTATCTCTGTCCCCTGGTGCCACCGGGCCGCAGGGCAGCAAACACCTCTGGAGGTGTCACAGCGCTCTGCAGCCTCCCTGCGCCACCAGGGCCACTCCTGGTCCCTGTCACCCGCTAGCCAAGGGCTCGGGGTGCTGGCCTGGCCTGTGGCACACTGGCATTTCTTTCCAAGGGCACGCCCGGTGCTGGGAATTATCCAAATTCTCCCTTTCCTCAATCGCTGCCCCGTTGTTCTGCCCGTGCTGGGGGGGTGACACCGATGGGGTCGGTGGGACTGTCCCCCCAAGGAGGGGCTGTCCCCAAAAGGGACTCACAATCAGCCAGGTCTGGAGCACAGGGTCCTCACTGCCCACCCAAACACAGCAAAGTTGCTGCTTCTCCTTCATCCCCAGCCCAGGGGAGGTGTTGTCACCATGTCCCACCTCAGAGGACACCCAGGTGTGGGGTTGTGTGGGGTCACAGGGCCCTGCCTGGCCCCTGGCTGGGGACAGCGGGCTCTGGGGACACTGCAGGGCTGAGAGGCAGCACGTACAGAGGATTAGGGGCTGGGGACAGTCCGCAGCCAGCTCTGGGACACGCTGGGGTCAGCGGGCAGCCCGAGCCTCCAGCTGGGACCGGCAGCAGCATCAGGGCTGGGCAGGGTGGCCCCAGCCAGGCCCCACTGTCCCACCCCTCCCTGCCCTCCCTTTGGTCCTGCAAAGCCCCACATGGGTGCTGAGTGATGTCAGAGGATCCCAGAGAGGGAAAAGCTCCTGGAGAAATCCATGAAGGACTGGTTTTATCGGGATGGGATGGTCCCCGTGCCAAGGGCCAAGGCAGGACCGAGCCACAGCCAGGCTCACACGGGAGGGCTGTGGCCCTTGGCACAGGGATGGACACCACCTTCCCATGGGAATTCCAGCGTGGTTGGTACCTGGAGAACAGCAGCAGCCTCCTGCTGCAGGGTCCCTGCTGCCCCAGGAGGAGCTGGCGACCCCAAATCCCCCAGATTTAGGTCGGAGCTAGGCTGCACTCTGTCCTGGGTGAATAAGCAGCTCCTCAGAGTGTGGGCAGACACAAACAATGGGGATCTGCAGCTCCACTCGTGCTGAGCGAAGGGAAAATGGGGATTTGCCTCCTCTCACCGCCCTGGCTGAGCTCCCGCAGGTCTGCAGTGATAAATAATACAGAGAATAGAATTTTTCAATTTTTTCTGAAGTTGCTGAATGGAGTTGAAAGATTAAATACTTCAAATTGTGTTAGAAAGTTTATTCTGGCCCATTTTGGTATCAGCAGCATCCCTGGGGACGGTGTGGACCAGACCAGGGCACCAACAGAGCCTCCCTCGAGCCCTGGGAGAGGCTCAGGGCAGAGAGTCCCTGTCCCACCAGATTCCACCTGGACACTGCCTCCCTCTGGCCCCAAATGCTTTTATTTAACTTTAATGCCCTTTAACCAGCGACTCTTTCAGGGCAGGCTGAGCTGCCCCCTGGCCTCATGCCACAGCTGCAGCACCATCACTCCTAAAACTCCTAAAAAAGGCAAAGCTTTCATCTAAAATCTGTCTGACCAGGGGCGACAGGACCTCCTCCAGGTCCTCACGTCCAACACCTGAGCTCCTCTGCAGGCATTGACCTCAGAACAATGAGCAGCTTTAGTTCAGGCCTTATCTCCCTCCCATCCAAGCCTTTGGGCCTTAATGAGTTGCCCAAGGGCAAATAGCAGCAGTGATGGGACCAGGATCACTTTCCCCTCCTTGTCCCACCTTGGGGAAGCAAGGAGAAGCCACACGTTCTCCTCCACACACCTTCCCACTTCTTTTTTTTTGAGGGAAAATTCTTTTTTTTTTTTCTTTTTTTTTTTTCCAGGTTGGAAAACCTCCCTTCTCAGGAATTCAGAGGTTTAAGTGAAAAAAAGCCTGGTTTGGGTTGGCTCTGCTGGGTCAGAGTGGGCAGAAAGCCTTGAGGGGTGGGGGAGGCAGTGCCTGGAGCCAGCCCCCAGCCTGAATTCCAGGAGAACGGGATGCACCCCTCGGCCTGGGGGCCCCCAGTGCTTCGGGGCTGCTCCAAGGGCAGGAATTTTTCATGCTGGGGCTGCTCCCAGCCCCGGGAGCTGCTCGTGTCCCTTGGGCAGACTTTGCTGAGCACATTTGGAGTTCCCCTGGAGAAGGCAGATATCTTACACCTATTTTACAAATAAGATAACAGCCCTTGCTCAAGGTGACCCGAGGTTTGTCCA